AAACAAGTGAAGAAAAATAGTTCCTTGGTTCTTAATTTTAGGGAAAGACACACTAATTTTATCATGTATGTGACATATTTGTAGCTCCAGTTTAGAGTTCCTGCTGAATTCTGCCTATTTTCCAACTCATATCTCTCTCTGTTACACTTTTTTTAAAAAAAGGTTTATTTATTTATTTGAAAAGCAGAGTTACGGAGAGAGAAGGAGAAACACAGAGAGGTCTTCTGTCTGCGGGTTCACTTCCCAGATGGCCATGATGGCCAGGGGTGGGAAAGCCTGAAGCCAGGAGTCTGGAGCCCTGTCCTGGTGGGTGCAGGGGTACAAGTACCTGGGCCATCGTCTGCTGTTTTCTCAGGCACATTAGCAGGGAGCTGGAATGGAAGTGGAGCAGCCTGGACTCAAACCGGTGCCCATATGGGATGCTTTGCTTTGCAAGCAGCAGCTTAATCTACTGTGTCACAACCTCTGTTAAACTTCTAAAGTTTACTTATGCTTAAGATACAGGTACTATATATCAAAGATCAAGGCTTTAACCCTTGACCTAACCTCACTGTGTGTTCATTAGTTTATAGCATTTCCTTGAGTCTTAGTTCGGGGTTTCAAAAATGAATAATTATGGTAGTGTCTACTTATATACATCATAGGACAGTTACTACAGTTCACTTAGCTTTTGTGATATGAATGCTTTGAAAACCAAAAGTGGTATACAAATATAAAGTGTTAGAAAAATCTGCTGATAATATATGTTTTTCTCTCTCAAGATGTCCCTTATTTTGAACTGTTTTCCTGTCATTCTTCAGCACCTCCCCCTTTCAAGATGTCTTCTCTAATTCAGTGGCTATGACTAGAGACTGGCATGTGCGTTTCCAACAGTTACCTAAAAGTAATTACCATCTACCCAGTCTCACTTTTTGGATACATCATAAAATCTGCAAAATTAGTGATTCCAAGCCCTATTTATATTTGTAGACCTCTTTATTATATGCACCTTACCCCAACTCCTCAACTACAGAATTTTACTCCTTTGGTATCCACACATATACCAATCCAGAGGTTGCAACTGAAAATACACCTTCTCAAACCTTCTTTCTCATACAGTCTTGGTCCCTGTATTTGGTGCTACACTTACAAAACGTCCCATTACCTAAGGGCTTACCTGTATTTTAAGTTATCAGCAGTCTCTTACATTGACTGCTACATTAGTTGTCCCTGAGTTTCCATGCCTAGCATGTTGCCAGGGAAAGTGTCTTTTTCATACAAATCTGATCATATTAATCACTCAATTGACACCCCCCTATCCAAGGCCCCCACCCCGAGTGGCTATGGGCTAATTTCTTTGATGTATCTCACAGAGGATTACATAGTTTAGATTGCCTTATACTTCAGTCTTCTTGATACCTCCCTCTGCATTCCCTAACCCTTTGCATCAGTTGCATCAAATCATGCCAGTCTCCTTCTTGATTTGGGTAATTGTGCTACTGTAGCCATATGGCCATTTAGGCATTGATAAATACCAACTCATTTTTTGAGATTAAGTTCAAGTGTGAGGCACTCCGAAAACTACCAGTTCACTACCAATGTCTCTATCACTCATAAAATAATAGTATATAAATATTATTTCAAAACATGATTTAGAGATACAAGTTATTATTAGAATAGGAAAAAAGATAAAAGCCTGACAAAGTAAAATTCTATTTTCTGACTTAGAATCACAAGATTTTATTGCTGAAAGGGTTGTTATAGTCAATCCAGACCAAAGTTTTCTGTGGTTTCCATATAAAAAGTAAAAGCTCTTGCCTGAAGATGAAGCTTGGGAAATTTGTATCTAGTTGTGTAATACTGACTGTACAACTGAGTGATCCTTATACAGCATTTAGGAAAGCAGTCACTACTCAAGTTTTTAAAAAAGCTGAAATGATAGAATCTCAAATTCATGGTCTCCATTTCTCTCACTTCCTATAGCCAGTATTGTAATCTTCTTAAAGAAATGAAGTTAGGGGGCCTGTGCTGTGGCGTGGTAGGCTAAGCCTCTGCTTATGGCGCCGGCATCCCATGTGGGTGCTGGTTGCATCCTGGCTGCTCCTCTTCCCATCCAGCTCTTTGCCTAGGGCCTGGGAAAGCAGTAGAAGATGGCCCAAGTGCTTGGGCCCCTGCAACCATGTGGGAGACCTGGAAGAAGCTCAAAGCTCCTGGCTTCTGATCTGCCCAGCTCCAGCCTTTGGGGTTATTTGGGCAGTGAACCAGCAGATGAAAGACCTTTCTCTCTGTCTATAGTTCTATGTCTCAAATAAACAAATAAAAATCTTTTAAAAAACACAAGTAAAGTTTGCCATCATTTCACATTCAAAATTCACTGCCCCTGTTATAAATTCACTGGCTAAAAACAAAAAGTCATTGAGATTTGGGACAACCAGGTCTTCCTTGCTTTTTCAAAAATCTATTCTTACAGAAATCTTTGTCTAAAAAGGCAAAATGTGAAAAAGCAAGAAAAATTGTTGTAGCGTAGTATTAACTATGCTATATTTCATTAGCAAAAGTTTTAGAGAAAGAGGTAAATGAGCAAGGTACTTTGGCAGTGGAAAATAAGAAAGTTTCAGTGGAAACTGTATGAAACTCATGCAGTGTTCTCTATTGGAGAACTTGCAAGGCATCCAAAACCCAATGAAAACTGAAATTTATCTTAAGACATGTCAGTTTTTTGAGACTCCAAATATATAAACCATGTTTATAGTTATCACTGATATATTCAAACATATCTCACAATTGACAGATGTTTCAGGGTGCATACAATTATGGTTGTGTGATTTCTCTCAACAGTCATATTTCAGGAGCAGGGATATATTTGCATAGATTACTTTGATCCATTTTCATTAAACCCAGGGTGACTCAGTGACCTGAACTTGGAGTGATTGTCTTTCAAGTTGAGGTCCACTTCTTCATTCACAATTCTTGTGGAAAGGTTTTACAGCTTTTTAACCTATGCCTATTGCTTTTTGAGATGGATTCTGATGGGTATTGAACAGTGGAACTCATTTGTCTCTTTCTTTTTTAGGGTCTTGTCCAGCTTAAAATATGTACACATTTTCTGTAAGTCTCCAATGCTGAGTTCCTGGCATGAAAAATGACCCTGTTACTTGGAAAGCAGTTTTCACTTACAAGTCCCCCAGGCCCTATAATGTCTAAACCTCCTGTGCCACTTTATATGCTCACCCCACCCCACAGAGGAGCATGTACAGGAAAAGCAGACTTCCCCTCCCCCACACGTTTCCTCAGTTTATTTACAAAACGTCTTGGAAGGAGAATGAGCTGCTTGTGGTTCCTGTGGCTGATTCAGGGATGATTTCCTACAGGCAGAGGATGCTGGTCAACCGAATGACCTCTCTGTAGCTAACCCATGCACCCTTGTGGTAAGGCTGTTGGGTCATATGGGTGCCCCTTCTAACTAAGCCTGGAGAAATTTGTTTTTGTGGTTAAGAACTTTGTAATAACCAACATCGCTGTGAAGACAGATTTAATAATGACAAGGTCCAGCAGATGCTGTCCCTTCCACTACCAACAAAAAATGTCAGAAATACACTGGGAAACATTTAGAGTCTGTGCATCAACATTTGCTTCTCAAAGGATCATGATTTATTTTTCCTTCCAGCGTACTGCAAAGATGATAGTCATTACCATTATTTTTGAATCAAGAATACCTTAGGCCAGAAAGTCATCCAAACACCTTTGCATGGGAGTTGCTTGTTCATAGTTCCCACCAGCTCATCTATATGTGATGATGACTACTAGTTAATAGTCATAAGAAAGTCCAATGTGGTGAAAATCTTAAATAAATTGGAATCTCCCAAATGTTTGTTAATATTTATTGAAACTTGATAATGAGTGCTCTGATCCCATACACTGGTGACTCTTGGAAACCTGGGAATATGTGAAGGAGGGATTTGTATGGTTGACTTGTCCATCCTCACCCAATGCACATTTCACTTGAGTAGGTGCAAGATGAAGGCACAGGAACTATAAGATGGCCTTCCTAAAAGATAAAATATTGAATGTAAATTACCATAAATGCATAAAATTCATGCAGAAATACTGGTAAGATATGCATCACGTTTTTACCATTTTATCAGCTTTGCAGGTTGCTGAGTAGATAGCAACATTTCATAAATCAGTTAGAATTGAATCAGAGTAAATTCATCTTCTCTGACATATAGTAGTTGAAGAAAGATTTCCCAGAATACATTGCTTTTAATCAAGTTAGGCCCCAAGTTATAATATAGACTTGCTGATTAAATTAGAGATGTGCTTATCTTCCACTACCTAAGTGAAAATCAAAAGTAATCTATATTCATTTCAACAAGCATAAAATTACCAATCCTCAGTCTTCCAGGACGCTAATTCTCAGAGGATATTTCATTATGTAAATTGTTTGAGAAAATACATTCTTATTTTTCAAATCGAGAACAATACAGATGTAAAAAAGAAAAAAAATCAGACCATAAAAAAGTTAAGGAAAAAATTGACCTTTTCAGCCATTGCAATCAACTTGAAAGTTAATGATGGGGGCCAGCATTGTGGCAGAGTGAGCTAAGACACTGCCTATGACATTGACATCCTGTATGAGTACTGGCTAAAATCCGGGCTGCTCTGCTGTTGATCCAGCTCCCTGCTAATGTGTCTTGAAAAAGCAGTGGGAGCTAGCCCAAGAACTGGGGCCCTTGTCACCTATGTGGAAGACCAGAGTGGAGTTCCTGGCACCTGCATTCTGCCCAGCCCAGCCCCCAGTGTCACAACCAATTCGGGTTGTGAATGAATCAGTGGATGGACGATCTCTATATGTCTCTCCCTCTCTTTCTAACTCTGCCTTTCAAGTAAATAAAATACATCTCTAAACAAATAAAAAGAAAGCTAATTAAATATAATGCATATACTGCCCAGGAAATGTCACTTAACTTCTGTACCTATGATTTAACCTTTCTTTGTGTCTTCTCCATTTGTCTCCCCAGTGCATCCTAATGTCAGTCAAGGCTGCCAAGGAGGCTGTGCAACGTGTTCAGATTACAATGGATGTTTGTCATGTAAGCCCAGACTATTTTTTGTTCTGGAAAGAATTGGCATGAAGCAGATTGGAGTGTGTCTCTCTTCATGTCCAAGTGGATATTATGGAACTCGATATCCAGATATAAATAAGTGTACAAGTAAGTGCCTTCCCAAAATTATATTTTTATCTCATCCTTGGGGACTTTTCCAGACTGACATGGCCTCTAATATAGTTGTGATGTTCAATGTTAAATAAGAAAATAAGAATGTTTATCTGGTAATTAAGCTAAACCACATTTCTACCACTAACTTAGAAAAGATACTTTCACTATAACTGTAAAAATGAAGGTTGAGAACATGATTGCTAATCACTGAACCTGTAGAAAAGAATTATAAATGTCAATTCCACTTGTTCCTATTTCCATCACAAAATCCAAGCATTTAATAACTTGAAAAGTCATTTTAGCTATTTTGGCTTCAAAAAGAATTCCAGTCTACAACTGATGACCAATGAATAAATATCCATCCACTGGAAATATATGCTAGAGGCATCCTTTTTTGGACCCTAAGACTACCCTCCTCACTGAAACCCAAAATGATATTTTAAAACCATAAATTAGAAAATATCACTCTGTTATACAACTATCACATGTAGTTGTGCCTGCCTCTCCAAACTCATACCCTACAACCCTCACACAATCATTGCTCCAGCCTCACTGGCCTTCTTACAAGATCTTCTTATACGATCTGTATTAACCTGGCTGTTCTGGCAGTCTGGAAAGTCTTGACCATGCCTATGCTTGATTGGCTGTGTCAATTAAGATTCTGCTCCTTTGTCACCTTCTCAGTGAGACATTCCATGACCATCTTTTCCAAAATAATCAGCCTTCTCCCCTTACAAGTAATTCTCCATCTCTTTTTACCTTCCATTAGCATATGTTGTTTTTTCCAGAGCCCTTATCACTCTGGAAGCAGACTGACTGCTTTGTGATCCTGGGGTAGTTTAGTCTTTTGGAGCCTCAGATTCTGTAAAATAGGAATCATGACAGTGACTACCTCATTGGATTACTGTAGAGTGTTAAGGATTTAATATTGTGAAATATTTGTCGCAATCCTGGCTTACAGTAATTACCATTTGAGTGTCAACCATTATTGTTTATTGTACGGCATCTCTCATGTTAGAATGTGAGCTTCGGGAAGACTAGGAGTTACTTCTCTTGTGCACTGCTAGCCAGAAATATCTAAAATAGTTTCTGGATCATTGTGGGTTATCAGATATCTGTTGATTGACTAACAGCCCTGAGGTTGATGTTTGGCACAGTGGTTAAGATGTCACTTGGGATACCAGCACCCTATATCATAATACTTGCTGCAAGTCCTATTCTCATCCAGCCTCTTCTAATGTATACCCTGTGGGGCTGCATGTAATGGCTTCAGTACTTGAGTTTTTGCCACCCATATGGAAAACCTGGACTGAAATTCCAGTTCCTGACCTTGGCCTTGGTCTAGGGCTAGCCCTGGTTGCTGCAGCCTGTTAGTAGTGAGCCAGGAGATAGAAGATCTCTCTGAAATAAAATGTAAATAAATAAATAGGCTTGTGGCTTAAAAGAAATTGTGAAATTGATGGTTCTTAGAACAGAACAAAGGCAATACTCAAGTATATTTTTTAAATTAATGAAATATTTCACTATCATTTAATATAAATGGTTGATCTTATAAATATTCTTGACTGTGTATACACAAGTTGAATATACTTTATCAGAAATGTTTAGCAGAAGCATTTCAGGTTTAACAGTTGTTTTTTTTTTTGGTTTTTAGAATAGTTGCATAGACTTTATTGATGGAGCATCTATCCCTAATCCAAACATCTAAAACCTGAAATGTTCTGAAATCTGAAACTTTTTGACCTTCATGTCAGTGCTAAAAATATTTTTCATTTTGGAGTGTTTTTGATTTCAACTTTTTAGATTAGTGATTCTCAACCTTTATAATGATAAAAATGTTCCCTAAGACAGTTAGGACAATGTTTTTGAATTCAACAACTGATGTACATCAACTAAATGACTGTGGAGTGATCTTTAATTCAGTTTGCAAAATAACTTCGAACCCAAGTGTTTGACACAAAGTTGCATGTATATGCGTTGGAAGCATGCAGAACTGGTCCAACAATACTGATGAGAAGATAATGAAATCATATTTATCTCTTTTTTTCTCTTGCAGAATGCAAAGCTGACTGTGATACTTGTTTCAACAAAAATTTCTGCACAAAATGTAAAAGTGGATTTTACTTACACCTTGGAAAGTGCCTTGACAATTGTCCAGAGGGGTTGGAAACTAACAACCACACCATGGAGTGCGTCAGTATAGGTGAGGAAGGCCTCCAGATTTAGCATGGATGAGAAATACCACACATGATAGTGCCAGCGTGTGTGGAGGTGCTTCGCAAGTCCTACTGCATAAGAACCTGAAGGATTTTCCCTAAGAGGTTCTCACCAGATTTCTTTATGAAGATACTCTAAATGCGCTCCCATAGCCTTCCTCACAGCATGTAGCACAGTGCAACTTAAAGCTCGAGGGGCACTCGATTATTCCTTAGAGGCAGTAATTGTTTCAACTATTCTGATCACGATAGATTCATTTCATAGCATTACTAAGTGAAGTTTTAGTTACAGCAAAACAAATATGAGTGTGTGTGTGTGTGTGTGTAAATATCTTGGTCTTGAACTAGATTTTCACCTAAGGGCAAGAATTTCACCAAACACCTAAGTTTAATGTCAACCAGTGACCAAAGTTATTTTCCAAAGGTGGAAAACATTTTCTTCTTTATAGCTCAGTGGCTAGATTAAAGATTCAGAGCACTGGCTGGCACCGTGGCTCACTTGGTTAATCCTCCGCCTGCGGTGCTGGCATCCCATATGGGTGCCGGGTTCTAGTCCCGGGTGCTCCTCTTCCAGTCTAGCTCTCTGCTGTGGCCTGGGAAGGCAGTGGAGGATGGCCCCGCATGGGAGACCAGGAGGAAGCACCTGGCTCCTGGCTCCATAGCGGCCATTTGGAGAGTGAACCAATGGAAGGAAGACCTTTCTCTCTGTCTCTCTCTCACTATCTATAACTCTACCTGTCAAATAAATTTAAAAAAAAATTAAAATAAGATTTAGAGCACTGAGACCGATAGAGTTAAGTGCCTTACTTTTTTCTCTCATGCAGCTTTGCTGAGATGTTCCGCTTACACAGATATTCAGCAACGAGAAAGAGAAGATTTTGAACTTACTCAAACTGACAGAATAAGACAGTCCTGGGCTCTGACTAATTGCAGGCTAAGTTTCCTGGAGGGGAGGTCCCTCAGACAAGTTGTTTGTCTAAATAACGGATCACTGTCAGGCTATATTTTCCCTCTTTTAAATGTCTCGCAGCTACTACAGCTACAGGTTTGATGAACACTTGGGCAGCAGATGCTAAACCTAATGGGGAAACAGCATACCAAATTTCAAACTCCCCCAGGCAGTAACTGCAAGAACCTTTGATGCTGCCCTGTTATTAGCTTATGAGCACAAATGCCCTCCTGAATCAGTACAAGATAGTGTCCAGGTCTTCCCTGAGGTCCTCCAGCACCACCCACTAGAATTTGAAGTGCTAGAGTAGTAAGTGGTGGTTTAACCACTACAGGTCCACCACAGAATTGCTATTGTTAAACAATGCTTTTGGTTAAAATGAAATAAATGAATGATATTTTAAAGAAAATGTCAGAAGCATCTGGAAAAACAACAATAGTTCATGGCTCATTTTAGTTAAGCTTTTCTTTTCTAGTTAATAAAAACACAGGAAAACAATTTAGGGAGAAGGCAGAAGGTACTTGAGAATGCACTTCAAGTTCATGTCTTTGTAAGTCTTGATGGCTGATGATTAGAGGTCATAAAGTTCCAAAGAGTAGAAAAAATAGGAAACCACTTTTGTGGAATATTCAAGAACAGAGATTCAGGAGGAGTTTCAGAAAATTTGTGATTTTTCTCTACCTAGGAAAAAGACACATATTTATATTTTCTTAGTTGTTGAATGTGTAGTAGTAAGTCTATCGGAGATGACATTCAACACTTGGCACTGTTAGATGAGCCTTTAAAAGCTTAGTAGTATGTACACTGCTAGTAAGACTAAAACTGTGTCCTGCCATAGTAAAATGTGAGAAATCTATGTCTTTTAGCATAGGGGCTAGCAATCTATGAGCCATTTGCAGGGAGTGGGTTGTCATACAGCAGTTAAGATATATTAGGGGTCCCTATGTCCCATATCAGAATGCTGAGTTTGAGTTGCTACTCTACTCTGATCCAGTTTCCTGCACCCTGGGAAGCAGCAGCTGATGGCCCAAGTACTTGGGTTCCTTCCACCCAGGTGAGAGACCCAGACTGAGTTCTGGAGTCCTGGCTCCAGCGTGACCCAGTCCCAGCTATTGTAAGCTTCTGTGGGTGAACCAGCAGATCAAAGATCTCTCTCTGTCTCTTTCTCTCCCTGTTGTTTGGCCTTTTAAATAAAATAAAAATAGAAATAAAAGGTTTATTAAATCTGACTTATTTAACAGGTCCAACTGACCTACATCATGGTGGTAGTAAAATCAGCCAATTTTCATCAATGTCAGTTCTCACTGCTTGCTCTACTCAGGATATTCCCGATGTGTGGTGTCTGGCCTCCAGGCACTATGCCATTTTATGGAAAATGACCCGTTTCATTATCACAAAGGAATAGTGAAGCCTGTTCCTTTAAGACATCTAAAAACTAGGACCCAGACAGCTGAAATGATGACTCCAAAGACACACTGAAACTTATTGCAGGGCTATGATTAGTAGTTTAACTTTAGCTTCCCACTCATCCAATAGAATGTGTCTTTTCCTCTGTGAAATCTATACTGTCATATCGCTTCCTACCTAGATGCCAGATTGAGAGGAAAAGTCCCAAATAGAAAATAATGCTCTGATATATAAGAATATTTTTAAAAGTTCATTGAAAAAAATGGAATGATCATCTAAGTTTATTTTGGTGCAAAACTAAAATTGAAATCCAGGCAGAGGCTTTTCATAATATATAGTTCCATGAACTTTTTGAAGATCTTGAGTAGAGCTGGGGTGAAAACCAATATTACAACATATCCACTCTCCGTGACCTGTAGGTCAGATTAAACACAAACACTCAATGAACCCAATTTTATGAGAGAACACATTCTTTATACATTGGGCTCCAGATATTGCTTCCTTTCTGCACTGTTATTCTGCCATTTTCCTTCTTTCTCATGGAGAGTTGGACTTAAGTAGCCTTGGAGGGAAGATGTTCCACTCCAAATACTGGGTAGCAAGGACATGCTCTTGCTGTGTTCTTTAAGGGGCTGTGCAGTTAGTCAACAAGAATTAGAGCAAAAGAGTAATGGTGTTGCAAGGCCATTACTGGTAGGACATCCAGTTCAAGTTTCCTTCCAATTCTGGAATCCATTTTACAACATCTCAGGCTGATGATCAACTGCAGCAGGAGCATTTCCAGGGACAGGGAGATCATTACTTTTTTGAGACGCTTGACTCATTAGTGAATATCTAGAGATTTCCAGTGTTACAGTTTTTCTCAATGCAGAAGATAGAAGAAACACAGAAGCTGACTATTTCTGTTTTTAACTAGACAATTTTTTTTCTGAAAAGAGTCTTGTATCATATGAACGAGATAATATTGCAAGTTGTTTGATTAATTGTAAATTGTCAAATTATAGATATAAATGTAAGAATAGCACTTTTCATATGTTTCTATTCACTGGAAGTGCAAATATGTGTTATAAAATCCAAGGAAGTTATTGTAGCTAAGAAACACCAAACACATACAGAAAAAGGAAGAAATTTCTAAAACAAGCGACAGAAAAAGTACATGAGTTCATCTCAGGAATGACTCAATCTAGTTAATTCTAGAAGCAGGTTATCTACTGAAATTGACCCAGAACTTAACTTAAAATAGATGCTGCTGTGCCTGTACAATACCCAGTAAGAAGTGGCAATATTTAAAGAGCCAATCATACATAAAGCAGAAGAGATACTCAGTGCAGGTCAAAGACTCGGCTTGGTTTTCTGCTCAACCATTCACTAGTGATCTCAATCACTCCCAGAATCTGCAAATCAACATCACCTGTATTGTTAGAAAGACAAAATCACATCTCCATCACAGTCAAGTGAACCAGAAACTCTGGGGGTGGGATCCAGCGTTCTGTGTCTTAGCAGATCCTTCTGGTGACTCTGATGCTTGCTGAAGATTGAGAATCAGTTCTCAGCACATCATAACTGTTCTCTCAAGTTCTGGTTAGGATTAGCCAATAATTGAAGCAGGGCTCTAGATATTGTGAAGCATTGATTAATTTTGAGTAATTATGTTGGTGATTAGGTTATTAAATATGGAGGAAAAGTGAACCCTTTGCAACAATGAGTTTTCCTGATAATTTTAATTCTAGCCGGCGCCGCGGCTCAATAGACTAATCCTCCACCTGCGGCGCCGGCATACCGGGCCGGTTGGGGCGCCGGATTCTGTCCCCATTGCTCCTCTTCCAGTCCAGCTCTCTGCTGTGGCCCGGGAGTGCAGTGGAGGATGGCCCTGCACCTGCATGGGAGACCAGGAGAGGCACCTGGCTCCTGGCTTTGGATCAGCGCGATATGCTGGCCGCAATGGCCATTGGTGGGTGAACCAACGGAAAGGAAACCTTTCTCTCTGTCTCTCTCTCTCACTGTCCACTCTGCCTGTCAAAAAAAATAATAATAATTTTAAGAGCTGAAAACATTCCATTCTGGCATTTCCCATTCTACTTCTTTTAATGTTTAAGCATCCTGCCCAACTTCTATCTATCGTCAAGATCTTCCTCGGAGTTTGGGCAGGTATTAAGGGAAGTCAACCTTTTACTTTGTTTAACGACAGTGCAAGTGGTTGTGAACAAGTGAAACTTTTTTGGTCTGTTTCAGTGCACTGTGAGGCCAGTGAATGGAGCACTTGGAGTCCATGCACGAAGAAAGGAAAAACTTGTGGCTTCAAAAGAGGGACTGAAACACGGGTCCGGGAAATAATCCAGCACCCTTCAGCGAAGGGCAACCTGTGTCCCCCGACAAGTGAGACAAGAAAGTGTACAGTGCAAAGAAAGAAGTGTCAAAAGGGAGAACGAGGTACAATCACACTAACAAATATGCTTGCTTGAATCCTTATCATTCAATGCATAATGTCTACCAAAGAACATGTTGGCTATAAATTATGGAGTATAGATGTGGTAATGTTTTAAAGTGGATCTGTACATGAGAACAGTAAACTACTATATGAGTGTTTGAATTGAATTCGATTAATGCAGCTGTATTATAAGCATTGGGGATACTATCTTTTCTATAATCCACCTTTATTATGCCTAACACACCTTTCAGGAAGTTCATAAACACATGGTTGAATGCCATGTGATATAAGACCATGGCAAACAGACCCCACCATCAACCTACTCCTTACTTCATTGCCTACAAACAAGAGCATCTCTAATCTGAAAATAAATCTAAAATAACCCCAAATCTAAATTTTTTGAGTGCTGACTTGATGCCACAGATGGAAAATTCCATATCTTGAAAGTTTGTTATAGTTGCAAAAAGCTATCAAAACTATTACATAAAATTACCTTCAGGTTACTGAGTAAGGTATATATGAGATTACTTCAAAAAGTTAATAGAAAATGGAATATAAAAAACAAGTTTATTTTTGTTCAAAAAATTCTGAAAGCACTTCATAATTTTTTCATAATATGCATTTTCCATGAACTTATTGAAATCCCTCCTATGAAACATAAATGAATTTCATGTTTTAACCTGTGTTCTATACCCAATATATCTTTATATATATATGAAAATATTTCAAAATTGAAAAAATATGAAATTCAAGACACTTTTGGTCCTCACTATTTTGGATAAGGGGTACTCAATCTGTAGTGCAGTAACAGTTCAACTTTTGTATTTAAACAGATATTTTCATTGCTAACTCCACATTGAATTAAATGACTGAAATCATATTTTATGCATATAGCCCAACCATTGATGACATTCCCCTAGATGTTTGCATATTGCATTAATTTTCTATGCCAGATTATAGAATATATTAGCTAAATATTGACTGTGTCAGGACTTATTCTGAAATTTTGTGAGTATCAAGGAGAAATATACATTTAATATGATGCTTGAGGAGGAATAAAATTCTAATTTACACTATAGTTGTTGACCTTTACATATAATTTTTCCATCTTTCTCACTAATGTCTTCAGCACTACTGCCTACAAATATGTTATAAAGCTTTATTTAACTGTTGGTAGTTATCCGGTGAACCTTTCCATTAATTGCAGTTTGAAAAAAGTTTGTCTCGGCTGGCGCCATGGCTCACTTGGCTAATCCTCCACCTGTGGAGCCAGCACTCTGGGTTCTAGTCGCAGTTGGGGCGCCAGATTCTGTCCCAGTTGCTCCTCTTCCAGTCCAGCTCTCTGCTGTGGCCCGGGAAGGCAGTGGAAGATGGCCCAAGTGCTTGGGCCCTGCACCCGCATGGCTCCTGGCTTTGGATAGGCGCGGCGTTGCCGGCCACAGTAGCCATGTGGGGGGTGAAACAACGGAAGGAAGACCTTTCTCTCTGTCTCTCTCTCTCTCTCACTAACTCTGCCTGTCAAAAAAAAAAAAAAAAAAGTTTGTCTCAATGACTGAACTTCCTTAGTTTATTTCATTCATTTATTCCTTCATTAAATATAGTTGTACTAAATTCTTACTTTCTAATCACATAGTGTTGAGCCCTAGGGATTCATAACTTAAAAGGGTACTTAACTGTCAGAGGTAAGAGTTCAGTACAGGGGCTGAGATGTTTGAACAGAGAATCATAATGTCATGTATTAAGAGAGATTTTAGATATGTGATCAAACTTCAACAGAACACAGAAGAGGATGTTGTGAGAACTTGAGCATTTTATTGCTCACATGTACAAGAATTTGTGTCACCTGTATGTTGCCATTCACTATACCAGAACAATTGGCCATCATTGGGACGTATACAGATCAATGTTGCTATTATATTTCACCAGTTAATGTGATAACATTCTTGAAGACATGAGTTATTTTAAACAGAGCTTCAGACTTTTGTAAATTTGTAAGAGGTTTTGATTAAAATTGAGTTTAAGGAATGAAAGTTGGCTAATGAAAAAGGTCTTTCTGGCATTTGTTACCAATTAATTTAAAACATCTTAGATTTTTAAGGTTGGAAGTGAAAGCCAAATATTCATCACTGTCCAGTTGGTGTGCTCCCTTAACTGTACACTTACTTGTATTTGCTTACTAGATTTTCTTAAAATTAAAGGACTTACAGGAGGTCTTTGCTCAGATGATTCTTTCTGCAAAGATTCTATGTTACTAATCAGCATGTAGTGTCCTTTGCTTTTAAAATTTAAGTGAATAAACTTACTCAACAGAACAATTAAATTAGGATACAAATTGTACCTTATTTCTTTTATTTAAGAATGTGGTCTTCTAATATATTTTGCTAGCACTAGGCTTAAGCATTTACATTGGAAATGTCACTTCTTAAACTAGCCACTTATAAATAATGCCACAAGACATTTGAAATAGTAACTTGTGACACAAGACTAAAGTGTTTCTTTCTGATCTTTTTTACTCTACTCTAAGAATACAGCAACTTTTACATCTACAGAGAACTTTATACAGCAAGAAAAATTTAGATGTTTTATTCTTTTTCAGATTTGGTAATGCATAGTCTAAAAAGAAAGTGTGGGTCACTTTTATAAATAAATTCCATATTTACATATACTCCTCATTCATCTTTTAATGTTTTTGTCAACAAATTTTCCAAAGTACCATAGAAACTCAAGATAGGAAGAAAATCATTTCTCCCTTCATTCCTTATTTCCCTAACAGTTTTCTTAAGCTTCTTTTCATTATCTCATTTGAACATAAAGATATCAAATTGATAAGTAATTATGACCTATAGACATCCCACTATTCATATCAAAATAATATTAGCCAGAGTTCTCACTTAGGCTCTGTTGTATATTGATATAGTTTATGTAACAAAATATCTTGTAATTTTAATATTGGAATGAATTTATAATCTATGCTAAGGACCACAAACATAGAAGTAAGGAATAATATTATCAGATCAAATAAAGTAGAAGATGTTAACTTCTCTATATTCTCCAGTATGAATTGGTGTTCCTGATGTTAAGTAGAGCCAGCTTTAGAAATCTGTAAGCAGCTTTAAAATCAAAATAATAAAATTATAAAGATATGATTTCTATTATTAGAACAGTTACTACTTGAGTTGTCCTAAATGCCTATAGATTAATAAAATAAAAAAGATCTTTTTGGATTCATGGATTGAACATTTCTAAATGAGTTTTTAAAGTGTAAGGTTTTTATTATGAAATGTAGAGCTTTTATTATAAACTTTAACCACAATAGTTTGAATTTAAATTTACCTCTATGCTCCCTGCCTAAGAGGTTAATAATAGACCGAGGTAGATAACCTATATTTGGAAAAGGTATGGAGCATGTGTTCAGGATTTTTTTCCTGTTCTGTTGTAACTGCCAAAGTCAAAGTCTCCTAGGGAAGAATGATAAGATCCAGAAATGACTTTCTAAAGAAATTGAATAGAAAGAAGCATTTTAGTAACAGGATTGATTATTCTAGCTATGAAGTACTTTCCAACACGTGTTTGTTGAAAAAAGAGGTTGCAAAATCCTATACATGTACATCGTTCTTTGTTATCAATGTTTATTGATATTTATCAATGTTTATCAATATTTATTTTTTTAAATATTCATAGTAAATTAGTCTGGGGAGAAGGAATGTAACTCTTGTAACCCCAAGTCTAACTTTTTATATAGTTTATTATTTGTTTTTACCAGTCAGTATTATTTCCCTTTACATGATGACTACCATTTAATTAAATTAAGTGCTACCATTTAATCAGTCCTGAATTCTTCCTCAGTTACAGGTTATTACCATTATAGTTGTGTTTATCTTGAACCTATGTCAACTGAATCATAAAATTGAAATATCAAAAATACCTCAGATATTTTAAGAGATTATATAGCATAGCACATAGACTAATACCACATGCACATTAAAACCATCTATTTTGAAATAGGAAGTAAAT